CGTTTTTTTTTTGGGGTTGTGTTTTTGTTGGGGCCCTTTTTTGTCCTTTCTTTTTTTTTGTTTTGGTTTCTTTTGGTTGGGTTTTTTTTTGGGGCCGGCCCCTTTTTCCTTGGTTCCTTCTTTTTCCTTGTTTTTTTTGTTTTGGGGTTTTTGTTTTTTCCCTGCTTGCCCCTTTTTTTTTTTTTTTTTTTTTTTTTTGCCTTTTTTTGCCCGTGGTTTTGGCCCTTCCTTCCCTTTGCCCCCTTTTTCGGGGGCGCCCCCCTTTTCTTTTTTTTGGCCGCCCCCGGTTTTTTTGCCCCCTTGGTTGGGTTGGGTTTTTTTGTTGGCTTCCCGTTCTTTCTTGTTTGCCGGTTTTGCGGTTTTTGTTTTTTTTAGTTTTCCCCTTTCCTACCCCCCCCCCCCCCCCGGGCGCGGGAGGTTCGGTAAAACCGTTCTCTTGTCGGTGTTCTGCGGGAAAAAATCGTGTAGTCACGAAGAATGTTCGCTTGCTAGATAAATACCCGTGTTTGCCTGCTGTTCTTTGCTTGACTGCTGTTCTTTTTTTGCTGCATATTGCTTTGTCGGCGGTTTGAGGTTCTTGAGGCGTTTTTTCTTTTGTGCGGTTGGAGGGCAAGCGTGGGTGGAACAGATGTCGGTGTAAGATGGTTCTGGTAGAACGTATGCCAATCGCTCACCATTAGTGGGTGCAATGATACATCACGACCGCGGCGACCCCCTAGCGTTCGAAGCTTGGGAAACGGCCCACCTCCTGCGGCAAGCAGGGCCTTGAAGTGTTCCTTGTTCGTGGCAATGGTGGAGGTTGCGCGTGACCGTTTGGCACCGACCTTTTTGTTTTCCGCTCGCTGTGTTTGTCGCAACACGCATTCCTTTCCCGCTTTTGAGTTGTCCCTCTAAGCGTGCTTAGCACACGCTCGCCCGCACGATGCTGTTTGAAAGAAGAGCGCCCGCCACAACACAACCCGATCATCTGGCAGGAGACAACCCCGAGCACTCGGACACGTCTACGGTGGAGTTCTACGTTGCCAAGGTGGGCTACCAGGCCTACTGCGAGTACCAGATGCAGCTCCTGCGGGATGTCGACGGTGAGGAAGCAATGGAGAAAAGGCGGGAAAGAGGAAGAGATTGAGGAAGGGAGGGGGGGGAGAGAGAGAGAGAGAGAGAGAGAGAGACAGAGACACAGATAGAGAGACAGAAATGGAGAGGAAGGGGGAGAGACAGAGACACAAAGAGAGAGACAGACACAGAGAGAGGCAGAGACAGAGACAGAGATGGAGACAGAGAGAGACAGAGTAAGAGAGAAATGGAGAGGAAGGGGGAAAGAGGGCGTCCTCACGAGTTGCATGCCTTTGTTGTGAGGCCATTCACCACACGTCCTCCAGAGGAGGGGTGGGGGGGGGGTGGAGAGGGACACGGAGAGATAGGTGGGAGACGGGGGCGATCGTAATATATTTTGTGGGATGGCTTAGAATACAACGGCGTTTCCATTCTGCGCCTCCAACCACGTGGCACACCAAGAGAAGGAGAGGCGTCTCGTGGGCTTGATTGAGCGTTGACTGGACACATGGAGCGGTGTCTCGACAATCACAGACGGCAATGCCGTGCATTCACTGCCTATGCATGCTAGGGGGCAGCACACGAATCTTTCTCGCACGACCGTTTCGTGGTCCGCCGACTCCACGCCCGAAAGAGTGTTGGCAATCTACATCGGACGATGGAAGCATCGTTTTCGCAAGCAAGGCTCGGGACTATAGATGTTTCCCGTCAAGTGCCGCCCTCCGTCCTCTGCCGCTGCTGTATAGTGTGCAACATTCCTACCACGTGCGACAATCTACCATGCGTGCGCCACAGCAGTTTGTGCTGGTCGATTGTTAACGGTAGCGGCGTCAGTCTCTGTTGCGCGTGAGTGACGTTTGTTCGTCGTGCCTTATCGATTGACGGCAGTGCAAGACACGCGGGTGAAGCCGTTCTACGCTTGGAAGCTCAGCCCCAAGGTCGGCTTCTTCATGACGGACAACAGGATCGAGCGCACCCTTCACCGGTGAGTTGTTATTGACGCCGTCGATGCCGGTGGCGATAGGGTGTTACTTCTGTCTCGTCGATCGCATTGGAGCCATGCGCCTGCACGGAACGGGACATACTCCTGCTGTGCAAGAGATAGTGTCAGCCCAGCCATTAACTGTCCCGCTATGCACACGCGCCATCGAAGCTAAACGCGCATGCTGCTGCCCGGTACCTTCCCCACCGTCATTTCCCGCGTGAACACCTTGTATCTATCCCGCCCGCGTGAATATAACAATAGGCAAGATCGGCCCGACGCGGAGTGGGTGGACCGCGAGTTCATGGGGCCGGACCAGTGGGACCGAATAAAAGAGGCCTTCAGCGCCGACTTCGCCGAGTGCCAGACGGTCTTTTTCGGGACACCGACCCCTCTCGTCTTCATCAGCCAGTCGTAAGTAAACAAAATCAGGAAAACATTAATTTTGACGTGGCGAGCTGTCCCGCCGACGCGATTATCGCGAGGTCTGGGGTATAGAAAAAGCTTTTGGTGCCTGGTTCTACACACACGTGATCGCCTCCGTTTTTTCTCTCTTTCGACAGTTGAATTTTTTTTATCGCCCGCTCCTCGTTACGTAGAGCGTCGTGGTGTCACTCGCTTCGGGAAAGAGTGTTCACAAGTGAGAAAGAACAAGGTGGCCAATCGCGAACAAACACTGTATGTAGCTGATATCGAGTCTTTCCGCTTATAGGCCTTTGGACCCTTGTCGTATCCTCTTGCGTATACCTGTTCTGTGCACCACGCTTGTATGTGTGCTGTGATGTATTGTGTGTGTGTTTCTTTATTGTGAGCATCGATCGTGGTACGACTGATCAATGAAATGACGTCAGCCCCAGCGCGGTCGAAAACACAAAACGCTTCAAATAGGCAATGTGCGTGTTTTTTTGTCCGTCCAGGGCGACGGGAGTGGCGGAAAAGGTGATCGTCGATGCCAAGGGCACATGGGGAAACAAGGATTTCATCTCGTGAGTCTTGTGGCTTCAACCATTGGCTTGGAAGCCTCTACGTTTTTTTTTTGGGGGGGGGGGTCCCGACGAGTGAGCGCATTGGCTCACCTCCCGCCACTGCGACTCGGAGAGGCGGCGGGGTGAAGCGTCCTCTGCTGCTCTGTTAGCCTCGTTTTTCCTTCTCGCCATAGCAAGAAAGCTAGCGCTTTACATATAAATATCACTTCCGATTTGTCTTTGGCGTGAGGTTTGCTACCCCTCTTGTCTCCATCTTCTCATCTTGTGTGATCTGCTGCTGCCGTGCCGGTGTCGGTGATGACGTCCGTCTCTCGTCCGTGGTTTGCAGCGAGCAGAAGGCGGCGCTGTCTCTCCTCAACAGCTGGCAGCTCGCGAGGCCCAACCGCGCCGCCATCACGCTCGGAGGTGACCTCCACCTAGGGGGCTTCACCGACTCATGGGTAAGAAATGGCGGCTGGGTGGGTAACCTTCGCCAGACAGTTTGCTTCATTGGTATTTCCTCCGTGCCACCCCTCGACAAGTACGGCTGACTCCCGCACTCTAGAAGTTGGTAGATGCGAGCTTCATGCCGAACATTATTGCATAACATACCAACTTGTGAGCGTGGCTAAGAACATCTGCACACTAGACCTGCGTCGGGGCCAATAGCAGATACTAGCCTTGTATCGTAGCACGTGTGTATGGCGAGCACCGGCATGCACGCGTTTGTCCCGAGCGATGGAGAAGATGACGTTTCGATGCAAAGTTGTGTTGTTGAGTTTGGTTCGCCGTTTTGCTGACCCACCGCTTCTCAACGTTGTCTTTGTCCTTCTCCTTCCTCGCCCTTGCGCGCGTCGGTCCAAATGATCTCGTTACCACTTCTGGTTTCCGACTGTGTGGTGTGGTGTGGTATGTGTGGTATGTGTGGTATGTGTGGTATGGGTGTGGGTGTTGTGTGGTATATGTGGTGTTGTGTGTCGGCGGTGGCGTCGCGCTTGCAGCACGACGAATCGGACGTGCCGCTTCACCAGATGACCGCGTCGGCGATCGGCAACATGCCGGAGAAGGACCTAGACGCCGTGAAGGAGATGGTCATCCGTGGCGTCATGCACGCCGACGAGAACCTCTTCGCCTTCAAGGTGCGTCTACCCTCTACAACAACACCAACAACAGTCACGAAACCCACATACATGTATACAGATAAAACGCTGCTAGCACCTTGAAATAATTTGGCAGCTAAGAACTTCATGCTCAACATTGTGTCAAGCACCAGACCTTGAGGGACATTTGTGAGCCCGGTCAAGAACACCACAGCCTGTATGGCCGTCATGCGTAACCCACAAGACCCCTGCCTCTGCTAAAACTAGAGGTTTAGATGAGTGCGGGCGCAATCTGCGTTTGCCCACGTTACAGTTGGTTGGGTGATATCTCCAATCTGACCTAGTTTCTGTCTACGCTGGAACAAGAATCGCGTTGTACAGGGATGAGAGGACCGATGTAACCTAACCTTCGTCTTACGCTGTTTGAAAGGCGAAGTCAAACCATTAGACTAGTCAACGATGGTTTGATTGCGGCTTCTAAACAAGTTAGTCTAGTGGTTCGAGACACCGGCTAGTCTAGTGGTTTGGTTCGGCTTCTAAAGCTGTAGCGAACGCGCGTACGGGTTTGAGAGAGAGAGAGAGAGAGAGAGAGAGAGAGAGAGAGAGAGAGAGAGAGAGAGAGCAGATCTGACCAACTTTCTGTCTCCGCTGCAACCAACGTGCGCAGGTTAAGCACCATGAGTGGATCTACGGCCCCAACTACGGCATGGTGGACTTGCTCCTCCCCAAGGGCAGCAACCGCCCAGACATCACTCGTGAGTTGTTGTCGTTGAAACCACGTTGCCGTGGTCTGCGTTCGGGTGTGCCTTGGACAGGCTGCTTAGACTATTGACCTCTGCTTCGGCGTGTATGTTCGTGCTTTGGCGGGTGCTGGTATATCCCAGATCTCTTGGATGGCAAGGGGTGTATTCGCGCTTTGGCGGGTGCTGATATATCCCAGCTCTCCTGAATTTCAAGCTAGTTACACGTTCACGAGGAGCACCATTCCCTCCATCCGATCCTCACAACCGTGCGATGTGCCTGCCAAAGAAAAGGGGGCGAGCGTGGAATTTGCAGTTCTACAATGCATCCGTTTGTCATAAGCATATGCGAAGAGCGATTCTTGTTGTACGGGTAGTAGTGTCACTCACGTATCGCCGTTTGTCTGAGCCTCCCCCCGTCGCCCGCAACAGTTCTTTGGGCGGTCGGCTCAGCGTTACCATCGTCCTCTTTTTTTACTCCAACGTAGAGCAGTATGTAACGGCCTCGCCGTCGCGCTACCACTTGTACCCGATTGGTCGGTTTTAGGTGTACCTCTTTTCCGGTTTGCCACTACGTTGTGAGATGAGATGAAACAAACGCCGAGAAAACTTGCGACGTGAAACGAAGTCAATTAATCCTTTTCCTCGGCCTCGACCTCCACTCTGAGGTCAGCTATGATTGTCTCCGTTCTTGCATGAACGCCCCCCCCCCCCCCCCCCCCCACTCCCAAAAAACCCC